AAGAAAAAGACAACTCTTGAATTAATTGGTAATTGGAGACATCTTCAAGGAACTGGTTTCCTTGCGTTTCATCCAAGCTTTCCCTGTGAGCCCACATGCTTGCTGTCTTGCGTTTTCCTCAACTAGACTTCCAACCTCTCTTACTTCTCCAAACACTTGGTGGTAAAACGCAACCCCTGCGATTTAGACCTCTCAACTGTTTTTAGCCTGAACGATTTCAACGAACCATGATTGTCACACGATTTTAACCAGGGCCATATACCGTACAGTGAAATCCATAAAGGATCCAACACAATGTCACGATCTACTTGGGTGCTTGGGTTTTCGTTCTATCTTCTTCCCTTGTTTTTCCTAATTTTAGGTTATATGTCATTTTAGTATTCGAATTTTTAATTTTTAATTAATTTTTATTTTCATTTTTATCCTGCAACTAATAAAAGTATATTTTTTAATCTTTTAATCAGTTAATTAATTAAATTTATTTATTTTTTAACTAAATTAAGTTTATTCATATATTATCTAAGTTTATAAACAAAAAAAAAGAATAAATTTAATAAATAAATTAATTAAATAACTTAAAATAAATTTTTTTTTATAATTTACTAATTTAATGATAAAAAATACAAAAAATAATTTAACAATTAAAAATATTTGAAATTTAAAATTCAAAAACTAAAAATGATATTTAACATTTATTTTATTTTTGTCAAAATTACTAAATTCAATCTTTCAAGTTTCATTGAAATATCTATGTCTTTCCTTTCCATTTCTCCTTTGGTCCCCCCCACCCCCATCCAAATTCTCATCCTTTCGGGGGAACTAACGGGCCCGCACTCTCTATCCCCTTCTTTTCCTTTCAAAATTGCATTGTCAATTACAGTAGCATAATATATTAGCATCTCCTTTATTACGTCTTTTACGGTTCTGGCCCCCTGTTAGTATATATATATATTTATTTATTTATTTATTTTTAAAATTCATACTTTATGTATTTCTCTCTTTTTGCTCTTTAAAATTTCGAATCATAAATATTTTTTTAAAATATTTTTTTCAATTTTTGATTTTTTTTTCTTGCACCAATGACTTAAATTTTATTTATTATACAGTGTCCAACAAAAATCCCGAAGCAAACGCAAAACATATCGTCACAGTACCTGCACCAAAGAAATATAAAAAAAAAAAAGAAAATCAGAAAAAATAAAAATAAAGAAACATAATAATTAATAAAAAAATACCTTGTACGTAGGGAGAAAGCAACTCGACGGCACAAACGAGGGAACGGCCGACGAGACGTACGGCGAACGACGATGGATGATAACGCCCAACGGGCAAGGCAAATGTAACGGGGATGGCTGGAAGGGTTACATATCTCATATATATCATTCAAGAATCTATCCAGACTTGGTAATTCTAGATTAGATTTAATCCTCTATTAATCAGGATTTTAGTGTGAATTGGATTCGATGTTCGAATTTTAAAAGATGAATTTTGGAGTCCGAAAATCTCCATCCATAGCTAATGAGTATGTACAAATGAATTTGTCTTCCAGATCCCTAAGATTTTCGAGATCTCCGAATACAATACTCGTCCGGGCTGACTCAGACCTGCCTCGGATCCCGAACTCGCTCAACGCGACTCTGCTCCAACTAGATTCCGCAAAAATCGCAGGGCTGAAGCATCTCGGCGAATGATTCGACTCACTGAGTCAACTCACCCCGAGTAGACTCACATCCTCGCGCCTGTATCTGAGATCAGAATAAAGAAAGCAAGAACCAACTGGTGAAGAAAACAATCAGATCAATCATCCGACTTTGACATTACAGAGAGCCGGCTAGCCCTCGGCTGGAACGCCGCTCTCCTCCTTTGTTGATGCGAAGACGGGCGAATCAGGGCTGTCAACGCTCGCTTCACCCACTCTCCTTCAACACCTCCAATTCGCACCAACGAATTTGTCATCGCCGATCGCCTCATGTTTAACCGATTCGACGGATACGATCCCGACCCGTTCCCGTGATTGTTCCCGCTATTCTTGTGCAAACTGCAACGGAACGATCCCGGATGCGTCGTCGGCGAGCACATACACGTCTTCTTCGGAGCCGAGATCGAGTTATGCCGCTTTGACACGGTTATCGACCGATTCGGAGAGACAGATCTATTGCTGATGGAGAAACTAAACGAAGGCGTCAAAGGAGATGTGTACAGATTGACGCGAGTGGGAGAAGCCGATCGATGCTGCTGCTGCTTCTTCTGGTGATCAAAGAAAGTGGACGACCGAGAATAGAAGCTTGAACTTGTGTAAGAAGCAAACGATGCCGACGAAGATCCGTTCGTACGCCCCGTCTGAAACCTCTCCGACGGCGGAAGCGATCGCGGCACCGGCGCATTACCCCTTCTTCTCGATGAAGTAGACATTTATTCGGTGGCAGAAAAGGAAGAATGACGAATGGAATTTGATTCTTTTTTTTTTTTCTAATTTTTTAAAAGCCCTGAGGGCTGTTGGTTTCGCAAAACCTAGTGTGTCTGAAACGCCGAATTTATAGATCAGAAGACACGGAAAGCGTGAGGGTAACGTCGTAATTAAAAGCAAGGCACGGGGTTGTTTCGGACTGACTAACCATGGTTAATTGACCTGCGGTTGGCTTGACTAGGGTAGGGGGGGAGGGTGGCAGTTCTGTATCTGTGGGCAGGATTCTAATCCAACGGCTGGCGGGACATGGGAATGCATAAAGCGACGAAAAATTTTAGGACCGTTTGGAGAAACAGCCTTTTGCTGGCAACTGCAGAATCTGCCACGTGTTATGTTTTTGGGAGACAGCGTCGCGTGTCAGTAAGACACCGCGACCGGTTATAACCGTAAGTAAGATTTGTTACCTGTCCCACAAAAAAAATTTAAATCGACATTAATTTTGGAGATTCAGAATAAAAGCGATATTTTTATTTTTAAAATGAAAAATAATTTAGAAATAATTTTTTATATTATATTTTTATG